CATGAGTATTTGGCTGAATATATTGGATACTTGCAAACGCTTCTCGAATCAGGGGAGTGACTGTAAATGGATAGATTATACAGAACTTCTCCATACTCATGCTACATCTCTACATGGAACTCCAGCTTTTGCAGGATACACATTTTGTGGTTCATAAGGCATCAAGTTCTCATATCATATTATGATATAACTCGAACTAAGCTTCCTATAAAATGGTTGCGTAATTAGAACTTCAATTTCATCGTCTGCTTGCATCTTCAGTCAGTCATCTCAGGAGCATTAGTATGCTCCTGTTTATTTTGCTTCTGCTTTGTGTTTGTTTCAAAGAATATTATCTTTGTCATTTGAAGGTTTTTCTTATCCATTTACGCCATGCTTGTAGGTTCACTTTGCAACTGTATACTCCCTGAGTCTCTTAAAACGTCCACAGTTCGACATGATCCAAGTTTCCAAACACGTAATAATGAAAAAAAGAGACTAAGAACTACCTTCAGTTGCTTGTCATCAATCTCAATGCCTCAGAGGGAAGTATCAATGTCTTCATTGTTTCTACACTCTCACTATAAGGGCTGCCTACCTCCATGGGAGTTGAAGAGATCCAAGAATGGTTCCGTGAAGCAAGGATGAGAAAACTATAGTTCTTAGGAATCACATTCCGTCTCAAAATTTGAACAAGGGAGGCTGTGCATGCGTGTAGTTTCTTGTATTTGAAAAAAGGGCTGTATGATACGTGTTTGTTTTGCGTTTTCGCTAGCCTCTGTGCTTGTGAAGTTTGCCGATTGTCTTTGTAGGTTGTATTCTGATGGTAGATGTTGATTTGCAGGATCATGTACTCATGCTTCACGAACAACATAGATTTCCCAATTGTTTCCATAGTCCTGTTAACAGATGCTAGCTACTCTGTACCTCCACCTTCAATTCAATTCCAGAGTCATGTTTTATATCCTCCTCTTTGTTTTGATTGTTTTCTTTTTCTTTGTTCAAGAATTAACTCTTTGTTTGGTAGAAAAGTGTTAGTGTGATTTGATCCTCCGAATATCATGTCGTATTTTTGAGATTATTTTAAAAAAAATTCAATTTTTTCGATCTTATTTTCGAACGTAGTCATATTTATTTAGTTACATTAAATTTTATATTTTTTTATTTTATACGATTGTGTATATTTTGAGGATTTATTTTCTAAAAAATTGAGAAAGAAATTATACCATTTGCAACATTGCTGGAATCTCTTCAAGAGCTGCAGCAATTGCTCAAATGGCATTGCAGCCAACACTAGAAATATAAATTTCTTCTTTACTATAAAAAAGTTATTTCTTGGAACAGTAAATATTATTTATAATGAAGTTGTTTATAGTTACTGTGAATTTTACAGTAAAAGCAGTGAACTTTTTTTCTTGGGTAATAATATTAAATACCTTTTGGGTCAAACTTCAAGGACCAGCATTCTTTTCCACAGACATCTGAATATTTACTTTACTGCAGTCACCAGTCAAAAGGACAAAACGTGCTGGACAAGCAGAGACTGTGTTTCCCAGTCTGTCATGACTCATGGTCGTCGCTTGCAGCAGTAAACAAAAATAATAGTATCTCAAAAATGGCGAAACGCTGCGTTTAGAATATTAAAGAACGAATTTTGTTTTTAATGCAGATGGACATGCATCTTCATAGCCGTACATGCCAGCCAATACTCTCCCTCGGCCATTTCAGGGAGGAAAACAGCTCAAAAAGCCAAGTCAACTCCAAGAACTCCAGTCTCCATTTTCATCATCTTTCTTCTCCTTTCTCCGTTTCTATTACAGATTATTCTTTTGGACTTTTGGCTGTATAATACTCTTCCCAAGTAGAATAGCACAGAGAATTCAACCGCCTTTTCCATAAGTCCTCCTACATTCGCGGATTCGTAGCAGATTCAGCTCCTAACCACGTTGAGTGTTGATGGGAAAAGGAGGTGGGTGTGTCCCAAGCAAGAAAAGGTTCCCAACAGAAGCCTCGGATCGAGATCTTCCAGTCCCAGGAAGTTATGTTCCTATTACTACCCTATCAGGACCAGAAGACATAAGAAGAAACCCAGTTCAGAAAAATGAAATTCAGGAGCAACAATCGATCAAGAAACTGAAAATCTTCATAATTTTCTACTCAATGTATGGGCATGTGGAGTTGCTGGCAAGAAGGATGAAGAAGGGCGTGGATTCCATTGATGGAGTTGAAGGGGTTCTATTCCGCGTGCCAGAAACTCTGCCAAAAGATGTTTTGGACCAGATGAGGGTACCGCAGAAGAGCGATGAGGTGGCAGTGATATCGGTTGACGAATTGGTTCAGGCTGATGGGCTGTTGTTTGGATTCCCCACAAGGTTTGGGTCCATGGCTGCTCAGATGAAGGCGTTTTTCGATTCTACTGGGGGCCTATGGGAGGGACAGCGGCTTGCAGGCGTGCCTGCTGGCTTCTTCGTCAGTACAGGGACCCAGGGCGGTGGGCAGGAGACAACTGCGTGAGTTTAATCCTTTAAACTTCTGTCGTTTAGGCTGTCTGGAACAGATAAAATTCTGAAATTCATTTGGAAATTCACAAGTTGTTGAGTAAGGGAAAGTGAAAAGCTCATTCAAATGGTAGAAATTTGCATAATATACAAACCAATTTTGTAAAAATTGTTTTTTTGTTCCAAATACAACCTTAGCTCAACCCTATTTTGTGCTCATCCATGGATCATATGGGTTTTCTGGTATGATTTGGCTAAAGATGATCATATTCTGCGGTGTCTCGAAGAAATGTTTTGTTTTGCTGTTTTTGGTATGTTTGGTAGAACTAGGGGGTCAATGATTTCAAAAAATGGAAATGGAATTTGTCTTTAAGCAGAAGAAACCTTGAGAGCACAGTCTATATAAGCTGGTGTATAATTCTTATGGGAAGATATCTTGCCAATATCCAGTGTCAGTCCTCATCTGTACAGGAATATGGTAACATGGCTGGCTTTCTGCCTCGAATTATTTGCATTACCAATCAGATTGACTGGCTAAGATCAGTGATCATTAGGTGTAGATCTGCAGTTCCATCATCTTTGAGGTTAATTACACAAGACTAACATGTGTTTGTTCCTTATTAAGGTTCATATGGGAATGGAAAGTACAACTTCATTCTGCAGATGGTAATTCGTTTTCCTCTTTCTTGAATTATTCCTTGACACTTCCGAGACCTTGATATCCAAACACAACTTTAGAAATTTTCACTTCATGATAGCTCTACAGTCATCTCATCCAGTACCTCATCTCAAGATCAGAGTCATAGTTTGTAGCTGGCAAAAACATTTGGTGTGTTCAGATATGGTGCCCCCTTGAACCTGTGTCTACAGGTGATTAAAGTGAGTGCTTTAGCAATCGAAGTACAGTGGAGAGACATGAAAATCGGGTACTATGGAAACCATACTGATTTTTCAAGACTCCAAGTATTGCTATTTTGTCAAATGACAGCTTGAAAAACTTTGGCATCGCTGAGATGATACTTGTCCTTTCTAAGGATCATCTGCCTCCTGATATACATGAGAAGATTCGCACTACTAGTTTTCTGTTTTCCATCTAGTTTTTAGTTGCATAAACAGTCAAGAATTTGTCAATTGTCAGAACCTTAAGATGGTGATTTTCTAGAGTAAAGCTTTTACTCAATGGCTGATCCTTAAACCTTGACAATATAGGTTTGTTTATAAGTAAACGTAGGTTAGAATAATGATTGTATGTGCTTTATACTGGTGATTTTTCTTGAACTAATTTGCTGCATTTATATGCAGTTGGACGGCAATCACTCAGTTAGCCCACCATGGAATGCTTTATGTTCCCATTGGTTACACTTTTGGAGCTGGGATGTTTAAAATGGACTCCATCAGAGGGGGGTCTCCATATGGTGCAGGAATCTTTTCTGGGGATGGCACTAGGGAACCAAGTGAAACAGAGCTGGCTCTTGCAGAGCATCAAGGTAAATACATGGCTGCAACGGTGAAAAGATTTGGGATTGGTTATAAGGGATTGGATCTTCTGAGCCAGCACTAATGTCCCATGATTCTTTGTTCATACTATATATTTTCCTCATTTAGTTCTGATAGTATTTCCCATATCACTTGTCAATAGATTTTTGATAACTTGAGAGCCTACCCTCTTTAGCTTATTATTCTTTGGTTTTAAAGCTTTGTATACCTGTTACTATTTTGATTTTGTTGATTCTGGCTTCATATCAGAGTGGGATATTCTTATTTGTGTATGTCTTCAGATTCTTTGGCTTGATGATATTAATAAAAGTACAGTCTGTGTTCTTTTCTTCCTGCCTACAATTATTGATCTTTATGTTCTTCCGATGGTCACAATCTGTGTCATTTGGTGCAGCAGATGTTTTGAGATTAAATCTGAACTCATCATTCTTGGATAATTTGAAAATTTGAGAAAAATAAAGAGAACTTAATCAGCACATGGGAAAACACTTATCTTGCAGAAGAGTAAGCTGATCTAACTCTCTTATCAGAGATATTATTGTGCTTCCAAGACATGGTTCCTCCACATTTCAAGCTCTTAGATTACAGTAATATTTGATGTAGACAGAAATTCTACCAACAGTTGCACTGTAATTTCACTCACAGTAAGACCAGAAAGGGGAGAGTTGGAAAAAGTATATAACTTGCAAGATAGGCACATCCTTCTTTGGCATCAAAAGTTAAAAGGCACGCTTTTATGCCAATAAAGATAGAAAAAATAAATACATCACTAAGTTCTCACTCCAGCACCTCTCCATTGGTTCACATCAGAATAAAAGCAAGTAAAGCTAACGAGTTCCGCCCTCCATTATCACAAACATTTCACAAAGTTACAGCAGCATACAAGCATCTTCTGTGATCCGTTGCATGATTCTCAAGTATTTTGTTTAGTACCAATGAAACTCAAGAAAAGAAAGAATCCATGCAATCAAATATACAGCTCTTTGACCTTCAAGCCAATTTGTGCATTTTTAACATGATCAGAAGCTACACGCATCTCGGGAAGAATGTCTGTCCAACATATCCACCAGCCATTGCCCTTCTCACGTTGGATTCAAAAAGTTTTGGATTATCTCTTAAAACTGCAGCTGCATCGTGGTTGAGAGGATCCTCATAATTTGGTTGCTGCATGCACAAGTAGGAAGTATAAATAAAACTCTAACAGCCAAGTTGGAAAAACTACGGTCAGAGAAATTTCTTACAGTGAAAAGATGAAAAAGTCCATAAATGATCGTGTTTATATTCAGAACAGGCTTCCAATCTTCTCTCAAAATGTTCAGGCAGACATTTCCTTCCAAATCGATATTAGGGTGGTACACCTGCCAAATTAATGTACTATTAGTGCCATCTTATTATATGTACCAAACAATATTATTGATAAAGTGAAAAAGCACCAACTCTGGCAAACAGGATTTCTAATTCACCTTCGTCTTGCACTTGACTTTTGGAGCCTCGTGGGGGTATACAGGGGAAACATTGAAAGAAAACACAAACATACCACCTCTGCAACAGAAAAAAGAACACAAGTTCAAACTAATGTGCGACATTAAAGAATGTATAGGATATGATAAACTAAATAATGATAAAGATGCTTCACTAATATGAGAAGATTAAATGAATAAAGGATAAAACTTAAAGCACCAACCTTAAAGAAATGTACTCAAGGAAGTAAATGTAATGTTGAAGTAGAGTGGGTATTTAGCTGGGTAGTGGGAAGGATGTGGGACAGATATACTTTTGATATATGTCTTTTACTCATTTAACGATTTTGCTAAGATGAAAGCATGTATTTATCACAGTTTGACACTTAATTGGTGCAATGAGGCACGAAGGATTAAGAAGGAGATTACTTACTGATAATATCCTTCATCAGGCCTAATGGTAACCTCAAAGTTCATCAAGTCATCCTTGCCATTTGGAAACAATATGTTACAAGTTTTTGGTAGATTCAGTTCACTGATATCTACAAGAAGATGTTTCCAGAACAAAATTAGAATAGCCATTCCTTTTCTTTGCTGCATTCATATGAGTCTTTCTAATACAAGGATGGCAAATAAAAAAGAGGGGGAGAAGGGTGAGAGCAAATTCATGCTTAATGCTTCCATGAAATAATTGAGAAAGTATCAAGAGTCTTTTTGCTATGCTTGCTTTTTGTTGGGGAAAACTTGGTAAGTTATATCAGCAAAATCTTTTGTCAGATGTCAAAAAACTTATATTGTAGCAAACAACTACAACCAGACATGATACTCCCTGTTGTGAAATGACAAAAGTTAAGGCCATACAGCCAATCATAGTTGAACAGGAATTGCTAGCTTCTTCGTGGTTGAAGGAACATCACATGAAAATTGAGAAAATGAACATGACAAATATGGCCAAGCTAGTAAGACCAAACCACAGAGCGAGTCAGCTATTAATCCAACAGTGGTTCAAAGGCACCGAAGAAAATATTTAATGCTTTGGAACTTCCAGGTAGAGACTTCATATAAAAATAATAATCATTAGAAGAAACAAGCCCACATCTAACCTTTATGAAGACGCAGTTCTCCTGCACTTTGCTTCTTGACAGGAATCTTCCCGTTAGCACTTTCTGCAATTTCCCTCTGCTTTTCCTTTACCTTAAAGAGCTTAATCATTTTCCTACAAACAATTGAAAATCCGGGTATCAGATGTACTAATAAGAAATACCTCTCCTTTGTCCATTCAGTATCATAACATGCCAAAGAAATGCTATAAATGGGACTCCAACAAACATTCTCTCTTGAGCCATTACACATGCAAGACATAAATATACTTTATTAAATTATTAAGCTCAGACAGATTAAAATGCATGTCATTCAATCACCTTTCACCATTGAAGGTTAGTTGACCATTACACGACCATAACAAGGTTTCCAACATACTTCTCTACATAGTAGAGAAAAGGCAATACATAAGACTAACCTCCCTCCGATATATGCGTGTATATGCAACTTAATAACTTTGCTTTCTCTTTGAACCCATTAAACCAATACAGATTATCTGATGATCCAAGAAACAGAAGACCAACTAGTCATCCAAAGCTAACAAGATTCGGTACTTCATAATCCAAAATCCCCAATCATACACAATCATAGTCCTCCTCCCCGGGGAGAACAAAGGCATGAATCCTAGTGATTCAAGTTCAAATCCATCATAAGGAATCAATCCTACTCCCTTCAAAAGATCAAAACTTTCCTTTAGCTTTCAATCAAAGAACAAATTCCCACAAAGTAAACATCTTGAAGCTTCAAATTAGACCATAAAAATTTGAAAAATTAAACCCGAAAGAGAAAAATGGACCTTAATCATATTTACAAAAAAAAAAAAAAACCAATCAATAAGCGACCACAATTCCCAAACAGTACTTGCCGATCAACAGCCACCCAAGTGCATATCTCAAATGAAACATCTACATATATATTCACGCACGAATCTTATCTGGATCGCTTACCTGCTAATAGAGAAGCAAACGGGCTTTTTGGAGAGAGAGAGAGAGGTGAGACGGAATCTGAAAATGCGTGAGCTGTTTATATAAATGAGACTTTTTTTAGGTCCCCTTTCTCTCTCTTCAGTCTCTTGTTTCAGTGTCAATTATCGTCATCCATTCACAACAGGCCAATATTTGACAATAAACTGTTCTCGATCACCTGCTTCACAGCTTATTTATGTCTCTCCATCATCTAATGGAATTGCGCCACGTGTGCACTCGTAGCAGTTGATCGCATCGGACGGCTGAATGCTTGTGTGCGTTCCTCTGTAACGTGTACGTGACAAGAGCGTACGGAAAGACAGCGTTCAGTAGATTTGACATCTTGCGCAGTGGTAAATCCAGAATTGCTGACGTCAGCTTGAATTTTCCCGTAAACAAATCTAAATCACAGGGTCGAAACTATAATTTTTCCAAAATTCAGGGTTCAAACTCGAAATATTTCCGTCGAGATAAATGTAATTGGGCTTGGCCCATTTATGTTAGGCCCTAAACTCGGATCCTCCTGGCCCAATCCAGCAGCGGGGAAAACCCGCAACAGGGAAAAGGGAGAAGCTGCTGCGGCAGCAGCATTGTAACCAGCAGCGAACTGCCATTCTCGGTTCATCTTCTATCCTCCCTAAAAACAGAACCTTCCATCAGGAGCAAAAATGGGCAAGTTCCTCTTATTCTGTGTACATATAATTCTAATCTACCCGATTCTCTGCGTCTCATTCTCTCCGGATAACCCGACTGATCGGCGAATTCTTGTGCTGGTTGATGATTTCGCCCTTAAGTCCTCCCACTCCCTGTATTTTAAGTCACTGCAATCTCGTGGGTTTGAGCTAGATTTCAAGCTTGCAGACGATCCCAAGATCTCCTTGCAGAGATACGGCCAGTACTTCTATGATGGCTTGATCCTGTTTTGCCCCACAATTGAGCGTAAGCATTAATGAACAATGCGTTACTGTTTTTTTATTCGATTCATCTTTTTCTTGATGTAAATATGAATGTTTCTGATTTTCGTTTGTTGCCGAAAAAAGAAATGGGGAAAATAAGGTCGATCGCGATTATTTTGTTATTCTTTCCTTTTATTTTCCATTAAAAAATTGAGGGGGTTTACAATTGAGCTTGATTGATTGCTGAAAAATGTGAAACATGGGAATATTTAGTTATTCAGTTTAGGATGTTTTAATTCGTCAAAATGCGAATTATGTTCTTGTGAAAATATTATTTAAGTGGAACCATTTCTTCAAAAGTTCATTTTATTGTGTTCTTTGACCTGAAGCAGAGAGTAGTATCTTGAAATGTTGTCAACTGAATCGAAATTAAGTTTTCAATTCATTGAAATTGTGTGAACTTTTTGAAATGTTGTAAAATAGCTTTCTGCTGGATTTCCTTTTCATAATTTCTAGCTCGGAAAATCACACTTGGTTGCTGGGAAAGAGAAGGTTATATCTAACCAGTTATGTATTACTTATTAGGTTTCAGAGTTTCTACTGATTGGTTGTTCAGGTTTTCTTCATACTCTGGTCATGGTTTAATTCTTACCACCGGTGTAATATTGTGTTTTTTATTAGGTTTTGGAGGATCTATTGACCTTGCTGCTATTTTTGATTTTGTTGATACTGGTCATGATTTGATTATTGCGGCTGATGCTAATGCGTCAGATTTGATTCGGGAACTTGCCACTGAGTTTGGAGTTGATTTTGATGAGGTTGGACGAGATAAAGAGTTTATCCTTATCTGTCTTTTGTTAATTCAAGCTTACTTGTAGTTTTTTCTGAATATTGAATATGTGTGCAGGACCCAGCAGCAATGGTTATTGATCACACTGGCTATGCTGTGTCTGACACAGAAGGAGATCATACATTGATTGCAGGTGATGACTTTATCAAGTCTGAGGCCATTTTGGGAAGTGAAAAAATTGAGGTAACTGTGAGTTTAGACGATGTTGTACCACTCTTTTTTCTTCTTTAACAGAAAATTTTCTTTGATATCACTTGCCTTTTTACCCTACTTATCTTCAGTCAAGAACTATAGATGAGAATTCCATATTCATCCCGCATGTCTAGGTGTTTTTATTTATAATTTTTTTTTTTAACTTTTTGATACAAGCTTGACCAAATGTGGTCTATGATCCAGAGTTTGTTGCGTGCTGTTTATTGGTACAATGGTGGTCACGATTTTTCTCATCTATTTTCCATTAAACACCTGCAGGCTCCTGTACTGTTCCAAGGAATTGGCCATTCACTGAATCCTGTCAATAGCCTGGTAAGCTTAGCTGACTGCATGTGCTTTGGAATGACCTTTATTTCACTGTTTAAATATCACTTGTTTATCCACTTCCATATTCTTTTCATGTTCTGCTTATAATCATGCACCTTTTCTAGGCCTTAAAAGTTCTCTCAGCTTCTCCTTCAGCATATTCTGCCAATCCAAACTCCAAGTTGTCTAATCCTCCATCTCTTATCGGATCAAATATTGCTTTAGTTTCAGTTGTTCAGGTATATAAATACTCACATGCCATTCTCTCTTTTCACCCAACTGCTTTTGTAAGATTTGTTCCATTGCCAGTTCCAAAATTTATCTTTTCCATATATTGATTTTTTTCTTGTGCAAATGTATGAATATCTAGAAGAAAATAACATGTGGAGCAGAGTACTGGTTTTCCATTCTTTTGACTATGCTGCAGCAATCTCGTATTTGATCTAAAGTAGTATCTATCTGCCATGCTAGCCAGCAGACATAATCTGGTAACAGTGCTTAGGTTTAGCTTACTTCTCTTCTTACTTAGATAAGATAAACAAGTAGTTTATTTGTGTTTTGCTCTCCTATGAGATAACTGTTAACATGCAGGACAACGTATATCGAAGTTATTCTGAAGTTGCATCTCATTGCATTTTTACTTTGAACCCTCATTCTTGATATTGCTGTTATACCATACTGTTTTTTTCTCCATGGTGAAGAATTGTCATTTCTGACTGATAATATGTGGTATTTCTATGTTATGGCTTGTTTTCTGCTTGCTTCAACTTTGACGACTTGTTTTTAAGTTGCAAAAATATTTGGGTAGTCCAATAAGTCTAACTACATGATCCTCTTATATAATAAACTGATCAGTTCTCTATGGTGGGAAATCTTCTTAATATTGTGTTCTGGAGAAGTTATGAGTTATGACCACCATATTAGCTTATGTTGTGATGCCACCTTTCACCCCAGATTAATAAAAGAGACTTCTTCTGTTTTATTGTAGGCAAGAAACAATGCACGAACTGTGGTCACTGGCTCATTAAGTATGTTCAGTAACAGGTATTTGGAAGTTATAGTTAAAATGTGGATTTCTTGGTAAGTAAGCATTTGATTTATCATGCTGGCCTTGTTTTCAGATTTTTCCAATCCGGTGTCCAGAAGGCTGGGAGCTCAACTAAGTGAGTGAATTGTTTACTTGCTAATGTTTTAGTATAAATATTGGTGGCTGGCTGGAGAAATCTATAATTTCTCATTGTTGACTGTGCATCGATCCTATTTTTACATTGCTGACAGAGAGTCAAATTCTTTGATATTGGTTGAACACTGACCTACCAAACGAATGAAGATGTTTTATTTCTTTAAAACCTTAGATCGCATGTAAAAATGACCTTGCAGTGATTCCTTATATACAACTAAATTTGATTCCTTATATGCAAGTAAATTTGATTCTTACATCCAGCTTAGGTCATCTCAGTGCCGTTGCCACCATCACCACTGCTAACCACTAGTACCACCCTGCCAGTACAATTTCTGCAACCATCATCTTTGCCCTCACATGTCGCCATTACGCCATTGGCACTAGCATGATTGTCTCCAGCACTTCCAATGCTATTGCCACCAACACTATTGTTATTGCTGTCATTATTCTACTTTCACCTCTGCTATCATTATCGCCATCGCTATCGTCGCGACCACTTTGCTGTTGTCACAACCATGACCATTGCTGCTGATAGCTATCACTGTTGCTAACCTGCCACTGCCTCTGAGCTACCCCGCACCACCACTACTTTTATTAATATAATTTAAGAAAATGGGAATGTCATAATTTCTATTATCCTATTATTTCTTTATCCAATCATTCCAAAGACATAGTAGGGTAGGTGTCTTAACTTTGGCTAGCTTAATCCACCTACTCAACTACCCTGGCCATATGTCAAATATACCTTAGATTATTGGTCTTGCCAATATTTTGAAGCACTGTCAGGAAATATGAAGGAAATGTGAATTTACTTAGAT